ATGGAAAATGTGATTATTTTCTTAATTCTAATATGTGCTTTTGAAAATCTGCATAAGATTGCTTATTTTTTAAGATACATGTTGTATTACATGTGATAGTACATGATTTGTTTTGGAATTTTTCATATGTAGATTTTGTACATATAAGAATCTTTGTACTAATGGGACCATGTGATGTAATCTATGTTTCTATGTAATGAAATATGTGTTATATGCAAATGTGGTGTTTGAAGGTGTTACATTATTAAATCAAAAATAAATTACTTTATTATTATATCCAAATTAAATTATAATAAAAAACTGAATTAAAAAAGTTACACCAAAAAAACAAGAACTAAAATTGTTAATTTGATATTAATATTTCATTCAAAAATAAAAACATTATCACTTCCTCAAAAACACATAAAATCGTATTATATCGATAGAGACACAGAATAAAAACTAAACATTAAAATTGAGATTTATCTCGTTGCATTGCGCGAGTACCCTTCTAATATATATATATATATATATATATATATAGAGAGAGAGAGAGAGAGAGAGGGGTTTAAAATTTTCGACGGATTTCCGAAGGAATTTAATTTTTATTTAAAAAATTAAATTCCGTCGGAAATCCGTCGAAAATTTTAAAAGAAAAAATGTTTTTTTTATTTTTCCTAACAAGATATATATATATATATATATATATAAAAGTTTAAAATTTCCAACAAAATTTAATTTTTTTAAATAAATATTAAATTCCGTCGAAAATCAATAGAAAATTTTAAAAGGGAAAATGTTTTTTCATTTTTTCCTAACAAAGATATTGGTATATAATTCCAATGTGATTGATAAGTGAAGGATAGGGCATGTGACGTGGATGATGGGGTTGGAATAGCTTTACCTTATCTCTTCACCTTTTTGATGGTTTGATAATGTTGTTTAGTTCTTAACTAATTTTTTATTCACCACATAATATCTATCTCTCACCCGTAAAAATAAATACCACATAATATCTATCATTCATATTATATAATATTAAGAGTCTACTTTTATACATTTCAATTTTAATGTTTTATTATATTTTGTCTATGTCGATTTTGTATAGTTTTTTTATGGTTTTAAATGAACGGAAATGTTTTGGATTGTTCTATTATTTCATTTATATACAAAAGTAAAGATGTAATTTATTTTAGTTTTAATAATGTAATATTTTTTTATAAAGATAATAATAAAATATTTTGTTATAGTTCAATGATTATTTTATATTTGATTATCTCATAAGTTATTTTTATTTATATGAATTCAAGTATGCGGCTTTAAAAGTTATACTCCTACACCATTACTTGTAATCTTGAATTTTAATGAATATGTATCGATAAACAATATTTGATATATAAAAAATGATTTTCCTTACCTCGAATGCTTTATAATATACTATAAATATAATATAATATTGTTTCATAATAAAAAATAAAACATACATATTATGAATAGTTATATTACAAAATAACACTCCAATTTTCATATCATTATTTTATAATATGAAATGACATATGATGGTTTCTCCTTTCATTAGTTCTCCATCCACCCTCCCTCTCTTTCACTTTATACGTAGAGAGATGTTCTTTTTAAGAACCTTGTTTTCATTGAAAAATGAGAATTTGAGAGCATATCATGTATCCATATTCATTATAAATATAGACATAGATGTTTTATAACTTTCATGATAAATGTTTGTCCATATCATTATGAATATGAGCATGTGGGATGCTCCTATTGGTTACTCAGTTCTCAATAAGTAAATTCTATTCATATAGGGGGTGCGTGGGTAACATAAGGAGTAAAAAAATAGCTTTGGTATGTGAGTGAAAAACGGGTATGAATAACAACCTCGAATGAAAATGTTTATATATAGGATCAGAGTCATGGGAAAAGCACAAAATATAAAAAAAGTGAGGAACAAACTAATAACCATCTGTATGATATGCACATGTACATACAAGTAATTTTTCAGTATGTAAATGTGAATAACATGGATACATACATAGAAACCACGAAACATCTTCAAGTACTTCTATGCACAGGTGCATACCGTACAGACTAGTGGTTATTAAGGATCCTTATTTTTTTTTCATTTTCGGTTTACCCTTGAACCTCACTTTCTCTCTCTAGGTGTGTGTGTGTGCGTGCATGTTTGTAACACCTGTAATTTCAGATTTCTTATTATGTTAAGTTCTTCATCTAATAGTAATTAAGTTGATAATAGATGAGGATTTTCATAGAGAAAACATGCTGGAAAGTCTGGGATTTGAATTGGAATCGAAAAACGCGAAAACGACTAAAAATGACCTTGTACGCGACCTGGTTGCTTCTCAAGTCGCGGGAGTCGTTGTTTGAAGAATTTTGGGTCCTAGGCGACCTCTCACGGGAGTCAACAGTGAGGAATTTTCTAACTGGGCGAAAGCCTGATGGAGGGGTGCCTTGGGAACGCGAACACAAGTGGTGCATGGTTGTCTTCAACTCTTGTCGTAAGGTGTTGGGAAATCGTTTTTGGATCAAATATGAGCCTACATTCCTAACAGCATTGCCTTGGAACTCAAAAAAAATCTATTAACGAGCATCGTGGAAATACATGCCACTTAGCCGAAATCTATAGAATAATTATCTATCGGAATAATATTCTTATAGATCTATTAACAACAAGTATAGCTACGCCAGGTGAATATTTCTATACTACCCCTTGTTGATCCCAACGGAGACACATGTCCTACCGAGACAAATTTGTAACTTTTTATCCTCTTACCTGCATGCACTTAAAGGTCTCGGGGATTATCCTTACTTGGTCATAACTTTCTCATCCTACATCCGTTTTTAATGATTCTTTTTTCCATGTGATATGTGCATAAAAACATACACTTTAGCACCTAATTACAAGTTTATTTCACTTCATTTTACAAATTTCTCAATCCTATATTGAGTATTTTAGTCTTATTTATGGCTTCACATTCATTGGAGCTAGGATGCGGGAATGATACTGTTTTGTGTATTTGGTGAATATAATGTTGACATAAGCATTATTATAACAGGTGTATACGTTGATGCAACACTAGGACACTAGATATTGGCACAGCTGGGTCAATCCTGTTGAATTTGTTGAAAAGTCAAGTTTTGGAGGATGACATCTTCTAGTACTGATAGCAGGCAATTTATATGGAATATGTCACTGCAAAGATACCTTAAACTTTTGTACTAAAGCATCTTGTGTTCTAAGGCATATTTTCTTTTACCCACTGGTTAATAATCAATGAGTATTACCCAATAGTACTTTTGATTCTTTCTTGCTAATATATATATATATATATATATATATATATATGGGAGTAATCCTTTGTTAATTTGTAACACTTTGAATAATATTACTTTGTCATCAGGAACAAAGCTTCATCTATGTTTTGGGTCTTTGTTACCTTTGAATATCATTTTGCAAGTACTTTTAAGTGTTCTTCGTCACTGTCAGTTGCTACAACAACCTTTCCAGCTTTTTCTTTACTTTTTGTGCAACATTTAGTTTTATGTCATTTACATTCAGTCATTTCCATTTATGTCATTTACTTTTAAGCACTTACATTCAGTCATGCTAGGCTAAATACCTTAGTATGAGTGTAAGTGAAGGTTGTGAGATTACGCTAAGTGTTAGTTGATGATTGCTTTGCTAATAACAATTTAATTCTCTATTCACAAGTGGTATTAATATTTCATCTGGTAATCTTTGACAAATTGACACATGTTATTTTATTCACATGAGTTGGATTTAAAATTAAGACAATGCACATATTTTTACTAAGTGTGTTTTAGAGGCTATAAAGAGTCGTCATAATCTTATGAGTTGCAAAACTATATGGAAAGAAAGGCAAGGTCTATACTAGTTTGGGATTAATGCATCATCAAGTGCACTTCCAACATATGGTCTAATCTGCACTTCCTTGGAAGGCTGTTTAATCCAGTAGTGTTGTAAACATTTATTTATAGAGCAATATTCATCACACTTTGTTGTTGAAATCCAACCTGATCTTGCATCCATACTATCTTTTAATTATTGTTTTATTTCAGTATATGGTTACCAACTCTGGTAAACATATTTTCTCTCTGAAGCTTCATTGCTTCCAAAAAAAACCCTTTTTCTGAAATCTCACTTTAAAGTTAACTTTTGTCACTCTCTTTGCAATTTAAATCTCTGTGGAACGATATTTGGTATTACTTACCATTATTACTTGATTTGGACGACACTTGTAAGCCATGTATACTTGCATGATTTACTTGTTATTATAACCTTTTGAGGGTATAGTTATCCACACACCAAGTTTTTGGCGCCACTGCCAGGGATTTTTAGCCAAAAAGAGTTTTTATTTAAGTTGCTTTAAAATTTGATTATTCTACCATCAATCGCTTATTTTTAGTGGTTTATGCCAAGGATACCTCATGGGGCTATTTTTGAGTTAGATCCAGACATTGAAAGAACTTTTAGAAGGAGAAGAAGGGTACAAAGAAATTTGTTGCCTATTCTAGCTACTCCTGAAATGGCTTAAGTCGGACCTGATCCAATACCCAATCTTGAGGAAGAGGTTATTAGTATTGCAAATTCAAGGATTAGTGGCATCATGGACTACACTATTCCAATGTTAAATCAAAATTACAATCTGGAATACATAGGCCCATTATTGATGGTGAAAACTTTGAATTTAAGCCCATCATGTTTCATATGTTACAAGAAAATGGTCAATATGTTGGATTACCATCGGAAGATCCTCATTTGCATCTTAGATCTTTTATGGAAGTCACTCACTCTTTCCATCTTAACGGAATTTCTAATAAAGCCTTAAGGCTGAAGTTATTCCTTTTTTCATTAAGTGATAGAGCCAAAGTGTGGTATAACTCTTTGCAACCAGACTCGGTCACCACATGGAATGAGATGACTGGGAATTTTTTTTAAGAAATATTTTCCCCCAACCAGGAGTGCCAAGTTCAAAAATGAAATTTGTTTTTTAGATAACTGGATGATGAAGCAGTTCCTAATGGTTGGGAAAGGTACAAAGAATTACTAAGGAAATGCCCATATCATGGCATACCCTACTGCATTCAGGTGGAAACATTCTACAATGGTCTTGATACCACTGCTAAACAAATGTTAGATGCTACTGTAGGTGGAGCCTTTACTTCCAGTACCTATAATGATGGTTTTGATATTTTGGAGAAAATTTCAAACAACATTGGTCATTGGACAAATTCTAGAGCAATAATACCCAGAAAGACAACATGCATTCATGAAATAGATCCTTATACTGCTCTTACAGCACAACTAACAATAATGACTAGCTTGTTGAAAAACTTGGTTGTCCCTGCTGCTAATACTGTTGCTACTGGAGTTGTTTCTGAAGCCTTGCCTGTCCAATGTGCATACTATGGTGAAGGTTATACTTTTGACCAATGCAGCCTTAACTCTAAATCTATGAATTATGTGCACAACAGACCTGCCCAATTTTCAAACACCTACAACTCCAGTTGGAAAAACCATCTTAATTTATCTTGGAATAGTCCATGTTTAAACCCACAAGTTGTAAAAGAGCAAAGACAAGGTTTTCAACCAAATGTTTCTCAAAGTCAACCTGCTCATTTTCAATATCAATACAATTCTCAAAACAAGCCCAACCAGCAGGTGATTCATCCAATTCTTAGGAGTCATTGTTAAAAGGTTTTATAAATCAAACCAACTCTGCAACGAATCATCAAAATGCTAACATTAGGACTTTGGAAACATAGATTGGTCAAATAACACTAGAGTTGAGGAATAAACTTGTTGGAACTTTACCCAGTGATACTGAGATTCCTAAGATATTGACCAAAGAGCATGTGAAAGTTGTAACCTTAAGGAGTAGAAAAGATCTAATAGAAATTCATAAAAAGCCACTAGAGAAGCTGAACCAATTGCTACAACAAAACTACTTGTTGCTGCAACAAACCCTCCTGCTGTTTCTAAACCTGCAAAAAACCAATGATCTACACCCATGCCAATCAGATCTGACATCCCATCGCTTTTTCCTAGTGAAACAGAACCAATAACAACAAAGCCAAGTCTAGATATGTTGTCAAAGGTCCACCACCCAAAGACCATGTTGTACACCACCATCCGAACCAGTAGATAGTACCTCTACTATGCCTACAATGCAAAATCCTAAGAAATCAGTGATTAACCCCGTTCCACCCAATGTTCCTTACCCACAGAGGTTAAGAAATGAGAAGAAGGAGGTTCAGTTCAAAAAGTTCTTGGATGTATTCAAACAATTGCACATCAATATTCCATTGGTGGAGGCAATTGAGACTATGCCGAGCTATGCCAAATATCTGAAATATATCTTGAGTAAGAAAAAGAAACTGTCTGAATATGAGACTGTGGCCCTTTCTGAAGAATGTAGTGCTCTCTTGTCAAACAAACTTCCTCCTAAGCTTAAAGACCCTGGAAGTTTCACAATTCCTTGTTCAATAGGTGGGAAGCATGTTGGAAAAGCCTGTGTGATTTAGGTGCTAGCTCCAATCTTATGCCCTAATCCGTGTTTAAAACCTTAGGGATAGAAGTGGCTAGGTCAACCACTGTTACCTTGTAGTTAGCTGATAAATGCATAGCATTTCCCAAAGGAAATATAAAGGATGTGTTGGTACAAGTGGACAAGTTTATATTCCCTGTTGATTTTATAATCTTTGACTTTGAGGCAGATAAAGACACCCTAATTCTGTTAGGAAGACCCTTTCTAGCCAATGGTAGAACCCTCATTGATGTCCAAAAAGGAGAGATAACCATGAGAGTGCAGGATCAAAATGTCACTTTTAATGTTTTTAACTCAATAAAATATCCTAAGGAGAAAGATGATTGTTCTGTGGTTGGTTCTATAGAGTCATTGTGTCATGAGGAAGCTTTAGAGGAAATCCTAGGTGAAAAGATGGAATCATTTGAAGATAGTGGTGAGGAGGATTGTAATTTAGAGGGTAGTGATGAGATGCTACAGCAAGCTGCAGCATATGAGCTGTTAGAAAATGAACCCAAACAAAACCCATTGCCATCCACATAATCCCCACCAGACTTAGAATTGAAGCAACTACCTGCCCATCTTAAGTACGTATTTTTGGGAGAAGATAACAAGCTACTTGTGATCATTTCATCATCTTTAGCAGAAAATAGGAAGAACACTTTGTAAAAATGCTTCAATCCCATACCAAAGCCATAGGTTGGACCATCTCTGATTTGAAGGGTATAAGTCCATCTATTTGTCAACACAAAATCATTTTGGAAGACAAGGACTTTACCTCTATTAAACCTTAGAGAAGATTGAATCCTGTAATGAAAGAAGTGGTTAAGAAAGAGATTTTGAAATAGCTTGATGTTGGCATTAATTATCCTATAGTTAGTAGCTCTTGGGTAAGTCTTGTCCAATGTATGCCTAAGAAAGAAGGTGTGACTGTAATAGAAAATGAGAAGAATGAAGTAATTCCAACTAAGATAGTGTCAGGATGGAGAATATGCATGGATTATAGGAAGCTCAACAAAGCAACCCATAAAGACCATTTCCCCTTGCCTTTATAGATCATATGTTAGATAGATTACCTGAGAAAGAATACAATTGCTTTTTAGATGGTTATTCAAGATATAATTAGATTGCTATTTCACCTGAGGATCAAGAAAAAACTACTTTCACTTGCTTCTTTGGTACTTTTGCTTTTAGAAGAATGTCATTTGGACTATGCAATGCTCGTTCCACATTCCAGATATGCATGATGTCCATTTCATCTGATATATTGGAAACCTTTATTGAGATATTCATGGATGACTTCTCTGTTTATGGATCTTCTTATGAGGAATGTTTGAAGAATTTAGAACAATGTCTTAAGAGATCTAAGGAGACTGATTTGGTTCTAAATTGGGAGAAATATCACTTCCTGGTTAAGGAAGGTATTGTGTTAGGACATGTAATCTCAAGAAGAGGAATAGAGGTAAACAAAGCCAAGTTAGAGGTTATAGAGAGTCTACCTGAGCCCACAAATATAAAAGGACTAAGAAGTTTCTTGGGTCATGCTGGTTTCTACAGAAGATTTATAACAGACTTTTCAAAAATTTCCAAACCTCTCTATTTGTTACTACAACATGAACAACCTTTTTATTTTAACAAAGAATATAAATCGGCTTTTGACACTTTGAAGAAGGCTTTGACTTCTACCCCCATTGTTATCACACCAGACAAAACCTTTTGAATTAATGTGTGATGCAAGTGATTGTGCAGTTAATGCAGCTTTAGGTCAAATCAAGGAAAAGATTTTCCATCCTATCTACTATTCCAGTAAGACTCTGAATGATGCTCAAATAAACTGCACAACCACTGAAAAAGAACTTTTGGTTATGATCTTTGCATTTGAAAATTTTAGATCCTACTTAATGGGGACTACGATCATTGTTCATACAGGCCATGCTGCCGTTAAGTATTTGATTTCTAAAAGGATGCCAAGCCAAGGTTAATAAGATGGGTATTTTTGCTACAAGAGTTTGACATTGAAATAGTAGACATGAAGGGAATAAACAATCAAGTTGCTGATCACTTGTCAAGATTACAGAAAGAAGAATCAAACTGTGGTGAAATCAATGAAAAATTCCCAGATGAATAACTCTTAATGTTGCATCATTCTACAGCCCCATGGTTTGCAGACATTGCAAATTTCTTGGTTGTTGGGATCATATACCACAGAGCTAAATAAAAATCAAAGAAAAACGTTACTCCGTGATACAAAGAGTTATCTATGGTTAAATTAGGGGCTAACCAGATCCTTAGAAGCTGTATACCTCATGAGGATGTGCCATCAGTATTGTAGCATTGCCATGCTACTTATATGGTGGCCATTTTGGTGGCCAAAGAATTACAGCCAAAGTCCTACAATCTGGATTTTTTTGGCCCACCCTATTTCAAGATGCTAATAGCTTTGTCAAAAGGTGCAATGAATGTCAAAGGGTTGGATCCATCTCCCAAAGACACGAAATGCCCTTTGTTGATCTTCTCTCTCTGTGATTTGATGATAAGCCTTTTTCACTTATACGTTATATTTATGTTTCTGTATTTTCAGTTCCAGCGATCTTCACTGAGTATGTTCAGTGATTGCTGAAGAACTTGCATTGTAAATCTATCAGAGACAACAATACTTTAAGAAGACAACACTCACACCAAAGAACCTTCAGCAACCGTCGAAGACTGAAACTGAAGATTAGAGACTAACGAGTACGTGATATGAAGCGGTATTCAGTGATTACAAGTATGTCTACATATGTGTGAAGACTGCTCAAACTTCAGCGAATGATGATGAGACCTTCAGGTCATTCCAGCATTCAGCGATCAAAGGAAGTTTGCTTAACATGATTGTTGTTGTCTTGTCCTTATGCACACAAAGGACAAAAACCCATTCCCCTATGAAAGTTAGTACGATACGAAGCCGATTAGTCGACTCTTTGTCCACCAACTTTAGGTAAGGATGTCTGCTTATGAATAGTGCTTTTGTACTATTTACTGTGGCAAATGACAAGTCTTCCACTTAAGGCTTGACACGCTCTCTAACCCTACCTTATTGCATTAAATGAGCATTTAATGCACTAGGTATAAATAGAAGTGTTTCTTCTCCATGCAGAGAGCGCGCATCTCTCTCTCTAACCCCAATTCTTACTTCAAGCATTTTCTAGCTTAAGTAAAGGATCTTCCTTATAGTAACTTCTTTTCTTGTATTTGCTAAAGCTTTGTGTGTAACCAAAGATTGTTTAGATATGTTTTTTATTACCTTATCTTTCTGCAAACAATCTTGTAAAATCTGTATTGATCTTCTCTATCAATATATATTTTAAATTTGAAAATACCGTGTTTGTATTCATCCCCCCCTTCTACAAACTGTTTATCTTCTTGTAGACCCTTACGGGACCAACACCCTTAAATGGAATTCTTGAAGTTGAACTCTTTGATGTGTAAGGGATACACTTTTATGGGACCATTTCCCATGTCTGTAAATTATCAGTATATTTTGGTAGCCGTAGATTATGTATCCAA